CTCTTCAGGGAGAGAGCATGCTTTGTGCTCTCTACACCGCAGTGATACTCAGACACTAAGCCGTAAGGGACTACTGATGGTAGAGGGGGATTTCAACTTCAGAGAATGACTTGGAGGTAGAGGTCGATTTCAAATTATAGGCGATAACCTCCAAGAACACAGTATGTCTGCAGTCAGAGCCTGAGTCAATCTGGCCTGTTTTCACATTTTCTATTGCAAATGGCCCGTTCTGAGTGGCTAACGCCTTCAGTGTGGTAGGTACCAACTTCAGACACCAGAATCACAATGATCTCATCACAGTCTATCTAGCCCACTGGCCCTATGCCCAGAATACACTGAAATCTACTTTTTTAACTTTCCCTGTGGTCCTCTTTCATTTCTTTTTTCCCAAATATATTGATTTGTTAAGACTTTGAGTGTAGAGGAGATCATCAGCAACCCTAAAGGTATATAGTCATGATGTAGGATGGAAGATCATACACTATTACATGGCAGATCAGTCTCTGTTTTGTAATAAATGCTGACAATCTGTGGCAGTTAATCAAACTCTTTTAGTCTGGTTTAAAATGAAGGCAATAGTATTGGTATTTTGTGAAGATTTGTATCAGCATCTATCAGTTGCAGGTTTCATCTTGATATATCCAAATGTTTATTCCCTCTTGATGACACCCCTCCAAATAAATTCTCTTATAAATTCTCCTCCCTTTCCCAAGTGGCCTATGCTATACCTAATTCTGAGGTTTCTTTTGCAGATTTTTCATCTGGATGACCTATCTATTTGTGATAACGTCTCCTATCTCTCATTGCCTTGAGGGCTATCTGTGCTCTTGAGTCTAGTAATGTTCTTTGAATAACACGCACCAACATTTGATGCATGTATACTAATAATTCTCTTGTAGTTTTTGTGTTCATGCTCTAAGATTTATGTACCTGGGGCCACTTCATTGGTTGAGTAGGTTCATCATTGGTGGTCTTGCAATCGAAGCATTCAAAGTGCTCTGAGAGTACGGTAGTGGGAGGGTGCCGTGGTTTCACTCCATAGCATTGTGAGATAGACAGCTCAGTGGTCAAGCTTCTGCCCTCATATGCAAAGCATCACACTAGTTCCCCAGTACCACTCAGGTGGAGGAGAACGAGCTGGTGTCTCTGGTGTTTCCATGTGTTTGGGTTGGTGTTATATGTGAGTTGAAGGTAGGGCTAGTCAAAGGTTAGTTGTCTACTTTTGTGCTGCTTCCACCTTTGTGTACTGGAAACCACTGCCGGATGCTAGATCTAATGGCTGATTCCTGTGTTTGGCTATGTGTTACAAGGCGTCCAATAACCAAAGATCAGACAGACACAGACAGACAGACAGACACACACACACCACAAACATTACTAAACCATAAAGAAAAATGAAATGTCATTTTCAAGAAAATGGATTGGAGATCATTGTGAGTGATTTCAAAACCTAAATGACACATATTTTGCTTATTTGTGGAATCTGTGCCTGAAATGATGATGGTACTAATGCTTGTATGTTATGGTACATGTGTGGGCATTTCTTTAAGTCTGTGACTGTTCTCAAAGTTTAGAATACATCATCAACAGCCAGTTTCCTGTACATAGCAAGCTGTACTCCAACTTGAGTACACGGGAATTGAACTCTTCCACATCTTTATTGATACTGCTTGTCTACCTGATATGATTTTAATTTATAGTCCCCTAATTAATAAAGAGATATAGCATGTTTTATATTTACTGAACATTCAGAAATTTCCCACATGAAGTGGATATTAATCTCTTGATGCCCTTTCTGATGAGTTATCTATGTTTGCCTAATAAAAAATCAAGTTATATGTGATGTTATTACTCCATATTTTGCTTACCTTTGTGCCCTTGAATGATACCATTTAATGATTAAATGTTATTTAAAAATTTAAATTTTAGCCAGGCGCCGGTGGATCATGCCTGTAATCCTAGCTACTCAGGAGGCTGAGATCTGAGGATCACAGTTCAAAGCCAGCCCAGGCAAGAAAAGTCTGTGAAACTCTTATCTCCAATAAACCACCAGAAAACTGGAAGTGACACTGTAGCTCAAGTGGTAGAGCACTCGCTTTGAGCTGAAGAGCTGAGGGACAGCACCCAGGCCCAGAGTTCAAGCCCCACAACTAAAAAAAAAAATTAAATTTTAAGTATTTTAAAGTTAACATAATTTAACAAATAGAATCATTTTAATTTTATCCAATTAACAAGTATTTCATTTTAATAGTTTTGATATATTTTTAAAAGAATTCTCATTATAAAAATCCAAAAATGGGGGTGTGTCTCAAGCAGTAGTGTGTCAGCCCTGGGCAAATAAGGGAAAGTCCCCAGGACCCCGAGTTCAAGCCCCAGTACCTGCACTACATAAATAAGTAAATTTCTTTAAAATTACAATTTAAAAATGATCTAATAATAATCAATTCATGAGGTTCCTTTTCAAAAGCACTTTAAACTTTTAAAACTATGGCCCTTTTGAATGGCCCTTTTGAATGGTGTAGAGGGCAAATGCTACTATCTTTGCCTTAACCTACTATTTGACACAGCAATGTTGATCACAAATTGAAAACAGCTCTTTGGGGGCAACCTTTGTCACTCAGTTCAACATGCACCTGCCTCCTTCTAAACGCTCTCTGTGTGCCCCTTGGCCCTCTCTCCATCAATACTACAAAGCTTCACTGTTCATATACCATGCAGAAATGTCCTCTCGTCATGTTCATTTTAAACATTATGTTGGGGCCGTTTGGGTTTTTCTATATCTGTATTTTTTTTTAAATGGGCTGTGCATTTACATAAAAGTAACCTGAAAAATGTGTTAAAACTTTATAATAAATTTGTGTACCATGTTGGACATAAATGTAATACAAGAATTTCTAATTCATAACCACAATGTCTTTCCATTTATTTAGTTATTTTAAAATTTCTAATTATATAGTTTCTTTGGGAAGAATTACACAAATATGCCAATACCACAAAATGTGATTTTTTTTATATTGGAAGAATCCATGTATTTTTTTTTGCTATTTCTTTTATACTATTTAAATCCCAGCTGGAGTGGAATAGGCTAAGTTCTTTTGTTGGGGTGAGGTGAACCTCTGTAGCGCTGAGGTATAAAAGGTATTAACAGTGGATCTGAGGGTGTGGGTGTGGCTCATAGAACTTTGTCAGCATTGTTTATTGATGTACATGAAATTGATGTACATAATTGGTCAGGTTCTCAGTCATCTTGGTGAGGGCACAGGAGAGCTTTCTGTGGAGTGCTGGTCTGCAGTTACAATCTGCTCACATGATTAGCAGGTGTAAGAAGTCCTGCCTGCTTCCAATTGGGGATTCCTGTATCTTAGGTGCTCTGTGTGCACACACCATGTTCCTGACCCAAGGAAGGACATGTGGTGACACAACACTACACATCTCTCTCTTGCCTCCATGGACTACATATGAGCCACTTGGGGCTGTCCTTCTTGTCCACACCAGATGTATAGATTGACTTCAATGTTACTGCTGGACTGTGCCTTTCTTGTTTAATAAACTTTAGAATCCTAAGCATTGTCAGGTTTGGTCCTGGACCCTGGTATACAGAGATGATTTTTGAAAATGGACCTGAATGCAGCAAACTAACTTTTGCTTTCATTTAACCACCCTGCAATTTATCTGTATCCTTTTATCTTTATCTGCATCCTTTTATCTTTCTAACGTTATATATCTAGCTATAATGTATATATACACTTAATAATTATTTTCTGTCTGCAAATTCTGAGGGTTTTGTATGAACAGACGTTGAATTCTATGAAAGGCCTTTCATTTATCAAATGAATTTTTTGCAGCAAACTGATAGAAGTTACAAAGTTACTACTATTCACGAACTTAGCTAAATACATTTTTACATGTGGTATTGTATTGCCACATAGTTCAGTTTGCTAATTTCTATTTGACATGAAAGTCATTTTGATAGTCTACATCAGTTCACATCTAACATAGGTATGATTAACCTCACTGTACTGTTAAAAAGAACTGGACTTTTGAGGTTTGCTGCTGAAGACACTGGACAGATTGCCCACCTTGCCATCTAACTCCACTCTTCCATAGAAACAGTGCTACCCAGTCTGGATGGCTTTTTGAAACCTCTCTCCTCACTGTGTGGTGTCACTGACCTATCTGGTATGGTAAAGGGAAGGAATCTCTGGTATTTACTATATCTTGACCCAGGAGCTAGAGACTATGACTCTCACCACTGGCCTTCTTCAATGGGTGGGTACATCTCAGTGGATCTGAAATATGCCTCAGATGTAAGGACCATGGAAGTCCTAGCACTGACCTTGTACAATGGCATTTATAACAGCTTGTTCCTGACAGTGAATGGTTTGATTAAATATTTTGTGTCCATGATAACACAGAACAAACAAATCTCAAGTCACATTACCTTTTCCTCCCTCCCTCCCTCCTTTCCTTCCTTCTTTTTCTCTGTGTGGGTAGATGAGTCTCATTTGGAACTTGAACTCGGGGCCTGGGTGCTGTCCCTGAGCTTTGTGCTGGCACTCTATCAACTTGAGCCACTGCTTCCCTTCCGATTTTTTGATGGTTAATTGGAGATAGAATCTCACAGACAGTCTTGCCTCGGCTAGCTTTGGACCATGATCCTCCGATCTCTGCCTCCTGAAGGGAGGGGAATTATTGGCATCTGGCCACATACTTTTTCTTAGTGAGAGTGACTATATAGAACCGACTGGCTTTGAATCCTAGCTGACTTATCTTCATTTATTTGGAGAGCACTTTAGTTTTTTAGGTCTACATGAAGGATTTAAATCATCACAGGGTGTTTCAGATCTTCTCAGCCTTTTGAGAAGGCCCAGATTTGTATCTTCCTGCCTGCAGCTCCCACTCCTACCCCTCCCTCTAGCACAGACTCAGCTTAGATAGTTTGTATCAACAATTTTATTTCTTGGATCCCCATGAGATAAGATTGGGGTGTGATGTGTCTTCATGGTTTAGGAGGGTATCAGGCCCTGCTTGGTGAGTGACTCCTGGTCTTTCTCCTTACAGATTTCTAGACACTTAGGACTGGCCTGTGAGGAGGTCAGGGTCAGAGTGGGTATTCTTATACACACACCCAAAAATCATCCCTTCCTATCCTTCTATGACCATCAAGATTATGTATCTAGTACACATCTTTGCCATGGCTGTGTCCCTCGCTCAGTGCTCTTGCTCTTAGAACTCCCAGTATCCTTCTTGCCCTCCTTCCCCAGCCCTTCTTCAGGAATTGTCTTTGCCCTCTGCCACCTAATGCCAGGACTCACCGCCTTTTGTGAGGTGGCCTCTTCTTGCATGCTCTTGGCTTGAGCAAGGATCTGAGGCCCATGCTTTTCTAAGTCTTCCTTCAGCCTAGTTAGGAAGTTGTAAGAAGAGGGGAATGGATGCCATGAGGAACAGAAGGATGTTAGGTGAGGGGTGGGAGAAGACAGCCCTCATCCTCCCTTCTGCATTGGGGGTGGGCAGAAGGGTTCCATGCCCACCTCTGCTGCTTCTGCTGCAGATGCTGGCACTTCTGCTGCAGCTGCTGGTGTTGCTGGGCTGCAGCCTCCAGGAGCTCCGCAGCTTTCTTGTTCTCCTCCTTAAACATTTCCCTGAGGGTATGGTAGGGTTAGCATCAGCCACTCCTTATTCCTGCTCCCCCTTCCCTTGCGTATCTTACACTGTTGCAGCTGCCTCCTGGCTCCGGAGGAAGAGTCCCTCCGTGAGGGTGGAGGGTCCCCCAGGACCACACAGGGAGAATAGTCGATGTTTCACATCCTCTAGCTTCACCTCAATCAGCTTCTCTGCAGAAGGAAGGAGCAGTGAACAGTGAGAGCAGGCAAGGTCAGGGCTGGGTCGCCTTCCTGCCCTGGCCTTACCTTCCTTCAGCAGTTGATCCTTGTTGCTGTCCAAGGCACAAATCTCCCTTGCTAGATGCTCTGGCCTCTGAGGACAAAACCAAAGCCTGTCCATACCTCCTAGTATTTCCATACCTAGGAGAAACCTGTGTGGACCTGGTCATTTGACCCCTCATATCTCATTTCCTAGTACCCTGGCTCCTCTCTGCACACCAGCCAAAGCCCAGCTTTAGGGTCTTTTCTACTGGCCATTCCTATTCCCTGTCTGTTCCTCCACCCCCCACCCCCCGCCCCGCCACGGACCTCTTGTGAGAAATAGCTGCTGTGGCAAGTATTTAGTCACAGAAAAGTCTAAAGCTCCTACGACTCTGGCTGTTGCCCCAGCATGGCACTGTAGCTCCCACCTCCCTCCCCTCCCTCTGATGGCCTACTCACTAGTCCTCTTCCCCACGGACATTGCTTCCCAAGGCAACTGGCCATCTGTTCCCTGCTGTCTCCCCTGTGCCTAGGACAGTCCCATCATTTCCAGGAGTATTCTGGATAGGTGCTATCAGGGTTCCTCCTGACCACTGAATGGACACACAGGGCAGCAGGAGTAGGTGTTCAGACCAGCAATGTGGACACCAAACAGAGGAATGGATTCAGGATGATAGTGGTGATAGGTGACTAAGGCTTGCAAATGGGCAATATGTGGGAGTCAGGAGGCATGGATCTGAATGACTCACATGAAATTCCCAGAGGTCCTTGTGTTGGCCCATCAGAGTCTCCAGCTGCTGCTCAAAGTCCAACCTGTAGGTCAACCACACAGGCATGAGGCTATGAGCCGGCAGCCTGGCCTGGGCCGGGCATCGTAGGGACCTTACTCATACTCTTCTCCATGAGGAGCACCTTTACCCCCTTGGCCCTCCAGGGCTCAGTTAGACTAGCTCCTCTCACACATCCTCAATATGATTTGATGACCCCAGCCTCAGGTACTGGAGTTTACCTCAGCTGCCTCTGTTTATTCTTCTCTTCCTCAATCTGGGAGTTCAGAGAAGAAATCCTCTCCTTGCACTCTTGCAACAGGGTGTGCTTCCTGGGAAGAAAGGCAATCCTCAGCCATTCTCTGACTGACTCTCTTGGAAAGGAACTAGGGTTTTTTTTCCTCTATACCTCTCTAGATCCATATCTGTAACGCAGTGGGAGGGGTGAGAGGAGGACCTATTCCTATGTTGTAAAGATTTGGGAGATCAGGCTGAGAAGGTACTCAGAGGTAGAGTGCTTGCCTTGCATGCATGAGGCCCTAGGTTCGATTCCTCAGCACCACATAAGCAGGAAAAAGCCAGAAGTGGTGTTGTGGCTCAAGTGGGCTAGCCTTGAGCTGAAGAGCTGAGGGACAGTGCCCAGGCCCAGAGTTTAGGCCCCACGACTGACAAAAAAAAAAAAAAAGATTTGGGAGATCAATATGGGCATAGTCTCTTACCTATGGGCCTCATTTTCCTTTTCTTGGCAATGCAGCCGATGGATTCTCAGGGTTTCTACAGAGAGCAATAGGGTCCTATAAGTGCCTGGTAAGGCATCAATTCTGAGGAGACAGAACAGGGTCAGATCCTGTCTGATTGTAGATATCTTTCTGGAATAGTGAGAGCCACAGAAGGATGCGACCTCAGGAAGTTTCAAGGCCTTTCTCAAGTATAGAAAGAGGGCTTTCTGCAGGATGGCACAGGCAACAGCTCAAAGATGGAGGAGTTCAAAATACCTTGTTTTTTGCTCAAGATCTCCTTCAGTCGTATTTTCTCTTCATGCACTGGAAAACATGGTAATGTTTAGTTATCAGAAATCACCCATGGCTCTGACTGCCTTGGCCTTGACCCAAATGTGGACTCCTTGAGGTAAGCCTTCTCCCCTCAGTGCTCATACTTCCTTGTAAACACTAAGAACCTTTACATTTTGTGAAAAGTGTGTGAGGATCCTGTGTGATGCCCATTAGGGCTCAGAAAGTCCTGTATGGCCAGGATGGGATCAGGGTGGTGTCTTTATGTAGGATGACTAGGGAAGGCATCTCTGAGAAGGGGATATTTAAGCTCAGAGATAAATGGTGGTATGAGAAAAGAAAATTGTGTTAAGATAACCCAAGGAGCAGAAGTGTACTCGGAGGGCATTTCCAGACCACCACCACTAGGCAATGCAGAGATGGGAAGAACTGGAGGCTGGAGAGATGGCAGGACCCTTGACCAGGATGAAGATGCTCGGTGTCTGGAATATTGCGTCAGGAAAGGCTCTAGACACCGTGGGTACCTCTAGTGGGCCGCAGCCAACTTACACGCGTCCAGTTCCTTCTGCAGAGCGTCCCAGACAGTTCTAGCCTCTCCCAGCTCTTCACTGGCTTTCTTTTTTGCTTACCAATGAGTAGAAAAGACATTGTGTGAGTGCAGCCTCCAGATGCATTATTACCTTTCAAAGAACATTTCACATTTTTCTTCAAGTAAACGTGGAGGGGCCTAGATTTTCTAGAATAGGAAACCAGCTTTCAGAGTCTCAGGATCTTCCTGTTGGGTTCAAGTTGTAGCAAGGCCAGGTTCACAGACGATGGTGGCACTTTCATACAGAAGGGCCCTGTACTTTTATTTTGTGGCCTGTTATTGCTACTGAAATGTCAAAAGGTGTTTTTGAACAAGGGCTCCTGCATTTTCACTTTGCATTGGACCTAGTAAAACACACAAGCTGTCCTAAATAGCAGCCCAGCTCCCTGAGCTCACCTTGCTGAACCTCATTAATTCGGTTAATCAGGACCTCAATCCGTGGTTCTAGAGTTCCCACTGCAGGGAGAAAAAGAGGTTGACTTGGCAAACTAACAGTCTGTATCTCTGCAACTATCACTCCACACAAATCCACTGAGCATCTCCTGTGTTCAGGGGCTACATCATGGGCTCACAGTAGGGACTATTAGAAATAATGAGTTAAGTTGTGGTAACTTCATTTAAAGGAAATAAAGTGGGGCAAAGGTTTGAAGAGTGGAGTGGGAACTGATTCTTGGATATGGGAAAGCATCTTGTAGGTCCCACATTAAGTAAGGGATGCAAGTTCTGCAACTCTATGGGTGAAGTGAGGGATAATCAGTACAGAAACCAGCGCTGGGGTAAGAATGAAACCTCTGGATCTGTGGGTATTGTGGAAGCCACTTAGGGTGGCCAGCAAGGAACTTGGGACAGGATTTTATGAAAAAATTTTTATTCAGTCTGCTTATGCTTCTGTAATTTTGAACCATCACTATTTTTGGTTGAAAGAATTAGAATTTAAAAGAAAGTGAAAGCTAAGGATATAGTTTCCTAAATTTCTGACTTGTGGGGGTTGTAAATGAATCTGCAATGCCGGACCCCAAGCCTCAGCAAACCTCATACACAAAGGAGACACAAGACCTTTCTGCAACTTTTTCACCATTTCCATCAAGTCTTCAATTTTCTGTGTGTATGTGTCCTGCCCTGTGGAACAAAACCAAACATTTCAAAACCCAATAGGGTGAAATGACAGGGTAAAGATTCAACTTGTCTGGGACTGAGGTGAGTTGAAGGCATTACTTTAGCTAGAGTACAGCCTTTAGTCTTTGTCTTCAGGCAAACTGTGTATAACAGATGAGTTTGGCTCCTTCCTGGTCAGCCTTTCCCTATGTTGTACAAAGACACCATAGATATGCCCTTCTTAAAACTCAAGGTGATATCAGGTGTTGTGGTCAAACTGAGATCAGCACTCACAAAATAATAATGTATAATAAGTTGCTGGATATGGCAGTGCTCTCCTGTAAGTCTTCAACTCAAGCTCTCATGACACTGAGGCAGGAGGATGGAGAGGGGCATGAAAGGCCTACAAGGTGAGACTCCGTTTCAAAAATAATAATGGTTGGAGATGTAAGTCAGCAAAGCACAGCCCTTGCCTAGCCCATGCAAGGACCTGGGTTCAGTCAAGTAATCAATTAGCATGGAGAGAGAGAGAGAGAGGGGAGGGGGAGAAAGAGAGGGGGGAGGGGAGACAGACAAAGAGACAGAGAGGAGGGGGAGAGAGGGGGAGAGTGGGGGAGAGAGTATTAAAAATGGAAATGAACTGAAAGTCATTGTACTGGCAGCTAACATAATCAATTAGGAAGCTCCTAAAAAGTGTTACACAAGGGACTGGGGATGTGGCCTAGTGGTAGAGTGCTTGCCTAGTATGCAAGAAGCCCTGGGTTTGATTCCTCAGTACCATACAAACAGAAAAAGCTGGAAGTGGCGCTGTGACTCATGTGGTAGAGTGCTAGCCTTGAGCAAATGAAGCTCAGGGACAGTGCCCAGGCCCTGAGTTCCAGCCCTAGGACTGGGAAAAAAAGTCTTACACAAAAACACAAGAACTAGTAACAAAATGTAATCAACTAGTGGTTAATTAATACAAATACCTTCCTGTGTAAAACCAATGCTAACTATGAAACCTCCATTTAAGATATTTCATAGTAATTTTCTGTAGTCACTACATGTACCTATTTTGACTAATGAATTAAAAGGTGTAGGAAATTACTTATACTAGCATTGTAATAATGGTAACAAGACATCATGCGCCACCTGATATAAGAAGACATTATAACTGGGTGTCAGGGGCTCACATCTGTAATGCTAGCTACTCAGGAGATCTCAGCTGAGATCTGAGGATCATGGTTTGAAGTAAGCCTGGGCAGGAAAAATCCCTGAAACTCTAATCTCCAAATAGCCAGCAAAAAGCCAGTGGAACTGTGGCTCAAGTGGTAAAACACTGCCTTGAGCATAAAGCTCGGGACAAAGCTCAAGCCAAGTTCAAGCCTCAGGACCAGCATCAAAAGAAGTAAAAAACCATTATCACCTATTGATAACTTGCTGAAAATGATAGTGATATTTATTAAAGTGTACGGTCTAAATTCAGAAGATATTTAGGGATAGAACAACAGTGTGTGGCACAGGGGGTGTATTTAGTAACATCAAGAATAAGAAATCAGACAGGAAAGATAGCTGTTTAACAAATAAATCTGAAGGGGAAAGTGAGAAAAGAAGATACCCAAAGAAAAAATGCAAAAAAGATACAAGCAACCTCTGTAATTGGGTGTTGAAGGAGAAAAAAGTATTTTAAAACTTGCTGTCACAATCAACAAACTTTGTAAACTATTTGATGAAATAAAGGAATTATTGCTGCTACTATATAAATGTAGCAACAGTATCACTTTTCTGAAGGGAACTTACCTTTAGAGATACACATGGAAATATTTATGGATAATTATGAGATACTTTACAATCAAATAGGAGTGTGGATGTTAAAGAATAAAAAGATTTGTCAACAGTTGAGAACTGTGAAAACTGGCAGACACCTGGATCCACTACAGCTGTTCTCTACTTAATATATGCTTAAATACTTGTCAATGGAGAGAGGGTAAATAATCTTCCTCCTCAGCAGAATTGTGTTGCTGCTGGCTGACCGTCCTGGTGCATGCAAGCTCCTGTCACCTTGCATGGCTGAGGCTGGGCTTCTTCCTTGGGGCTGGGGATGGCAGAAGGGTGGGGATCTCCTTCCCTGCAGGACTCTGACCCTGGGTGATTCTTTTTTCCTAAGGGACTGGCTGACCCCAGACATCTGCCTCCCAGGGTCACCCTCCCTGGGGTCTGGCTGACCCCGGACATCTGCCTCCCAGGGTCTCCTTCCCTGGGGCCTGGCTGACCCCGACGCCTCCCTCCCAGGGTCACCCTCCCCGGTGTCTGGTTGACCCCGACGCCTCCCTCCCAGGGTCACCCTCCCTGGGGTCTGGCTGACCCTGACGCCTCCCTCCCTGGGGTCTGGCTGACCCCAGACATCTGCCTCCCAGGGTCACCCTCCCTGGGGTCTGGTTGACCCCGACGCCTCCCTCCCTGGGGTCCGGCCGACCCAGACACCTCCCTCCCTGGGTCTCCCTTCCCCGGACGCGGGCCAGGTTCCACCCGCGGTCTGCGGCTCGCGGCGGGGCGC